CCCAGAGGGAATAAAAGAGGAGCAAAAGGGGAGTGGAGTTTGCAGGAGGCAATTAGTTCGCTTTAATTAGTTCGTGACTCTCCGAGACTCCTTGCCAAGTTTTGTAGATATCGGCCCATCAGCTCTCCAAGCCAGATAAGGTCTGTGACTGTAAATCCTCCCGTGAAAGACTTTGCTGACTGTGAAGGAGCAGAACGCACAGTCAATTAATAAAAGGGGGTTTTGTCGGGACAAGGAGTTTGCTTCATGCTGTTGGGAAGCCCGGGAACAGAACATTGGAGCAAATCGGTTATCTCTCTGAAGATGAAGCTGCCAAATGGAGGTTTCCATCCTTCGGGAAATCCCCAGGATTTCAAGCTTTTAAAAAAAACACAAAAATTCTGGATTTTTGTCTGCGACTTTAACAATGCACTTGGTGTTTCCCAATATTGCTAGAATAGAACAGAGGTTTCAAAGAAAGTTACTAACCTCAGCACCCGGCTTCCTTGGACTCAACAGGACCTAACTGGCCTTGGCTAATTTTTAATTAAGCAGGCTTAAACCTGGTTAATACTTGGATAGAAGATTACCAGGAAATCAATCAATCCATCAATCAGAATGGAGCTGGAAGGGACCTTTAAGGTCATCTAGTTCAACGCTCTCCTCGAGCAGGAGACTCTGTACCACTACAGACAAATGACTGTCCAGTCTTCTTGAAAGCCTCCAATGTTGGACCAATCACAACTTCTGGAGGCAAGTTGTTCCACTGGTTAATTATTCCCGCTATTAGAAGTTTCTCCTTCATTCCAGGTTGCTCCTCTCCTTGATTAGCTTCCATCCATTGCTTCTTGTCCTGCCTTCTGGTGCTTTGGAAAATAGTTTGACCTCCTCATCTCTGTGGCAGCCCCTCAAATATTGGAAGACTGCTATCATGTCATTCCTGGTCTCCTTACTTTTATCTGAGAGTAAATGGAAGATTAATGTTTACTGGGGGGGGGGGGGGGTGGGGGGGAGCCCAAAGAGCTGAATAGGAATCTTCATAGAGCCACTTCCCATCGGCTGGTTTTACATTTTTTAAATTCTTGGCAACTTTTTGTGCCACAATCCACTGCTCTACTTCGTTTTGGCCAGTGTCCCTCGCAACCAGCTAATGGAAAGTGTGAAAAAAATGCCCACCAATTAGTGCTCCAGGTCAGTGGTGGGATTCGGTTCTGTGAGCATGGTGTGGCTTGGTAGGCATGGCTTGGTGGACATGGTAGGGGAAGGATACTGNGCCGAACTGCAGAACTGCAGTCAGCTGAAGCGGCCTGCAGTGCTGCACTCTAACCACTGCGCCACCTCGGCTCTTAGTAACATGGTTGTTAAGTGAATTTGGCTTCCCCATTGACTTTGCTTGCCAGAAGGTTGCAAAAGGGGATCACATGACCCCAGGACATTGCAACCTGTATTAAATACATGCCAGTTGCCAAGTCATCAAGTTTCGATCACATGATCACAAGGATGCTCTCAGTGGCTGTAAGTGTAAAAAAAAACAGACATAATTTGCTCTTTTCACTGCTGTTGTAACTTTGAACGATTGAATAGCTGAAGATGCAGCCGGGACAGAATGAATTACGGGTAGTCCTCAACATATGATCACAATTGAGCCCAACATTTATGTGGCTAAGTGAGAAATTTATTAAGTCAGTTTTGCCCCATTTTAGTTTTTTTTTCCTGCCAGAATTGTTCAGTGAATCATTGCAGTTGCTAAGTTAGTAACACGGTTGTTACGTGAATCGGACTTCCCCGTTGACTTTGCCTGTCAGAAGGTCGCAAAAGGTGATCCCCGATGACTCCGGGAAACTGCAACCGTCATAAATATGAGTCAGTTGGCAAGCGCCTGAATTTTGGTCACGTGATTATAGGGATGCGGCAATGGTTGTAAGTGTGGAATATAGTCACAAGTCACTTTATTCAGTGTCATTGCAACTGCAAACGCAGACTAAAAGAACTGTTGTAAGTCGAGGACTACCTGTATATTTTCCTATTCGATCTGGTATATTTACTATTGTAGGAAGTTATCACCCAGCCCTCTCCCAGAAAAATGAAATATCCTAGGAGATATTGAAAAGGCAGAATATTTCTCTGAATGTGAAAAGTAAGAAACGTGTTTTAAAAGGCAGAATAGCTCCCTGTAGCTTCCTGCCCATCCCCACTTTGACAATGGGCCATTAAGAAGGCCAAGCTAGTCCACTTTACATAATAAAGANTTAATACCACTTTATAAGGCCTTGGTAAGGCCACACTTGGAATAGGGCATCCAGTTTTGGTCGCCACGATGTAGAAAAGATGTGGAGACTCTAGAAATTGTGCAGAGAGCAACAAAGGTGATTGGGGGCTTGGAGGCTAAACCATATGAAAAACAGTTGCAGAAATTGGGTATGTCCAGTTTAGTGAAAAGGAGGAGTGGAGGTGACATGATAGCAGTTTTTTTCCAAAATCTCAGGGGTTGCCACAAAGAAGAGGGGGTCAAATCTATTTTCCGAAACACTTGAAGGGAGGATAAGAAGCAACAGATGAAAACCAATCAAGGAGAGAAACGATCTGGAACTAAGGTGAAATTTCCTGACAGTTGAGAACAATTAATCAGCGGGGTGACTTGTTTCCAGAAGTTGTGGGTGCTTAATCCTATAAATTTTAAGAAGAGTCTGGACAACCATTTGTGTTGAAATGGTGTAGGGTTTCCTGCTTGAGCAGGTGGTTGGACTAGAAGACCTCCAAGGTCCCTTCCAACTTTGTTAAGTCTGTTGTTTTGTTTTGTTAACTTCTCAGGAACTTCTCAGGAACTTCTCAGGCTCAAGGTTCAACTCCCAAAAAGAAAAGAGGGAATTCGGAGCTGAGATGAAGATTTTGGTGCTCACTTAACAGGAAAACCTGCTGCTGTAGGATCACAGCTTGGAAAGAAGTGATCCCTTGTTCCTCTAACCCTCATAATCACATTAAGCGATTTAACTGTGCCAATTGAGATTTCATTTGCTGGCAACAGCAGAGCCGTCAATCAACACCAGGTTTCAATCAGTTCCATCGTGTTGTGGTCTTGAATCAACATCAAGAGAGCACAAGTACAGCTCTTGTGTTCTGGTGTCTTAATCTTCTCTTGGCACGTTTTATTCACCCTGGATTTCGCCTTTTATGATCCCAAGAGCAANTGTCTCCAGTGTCTTTTCCCCCACTTGGAGACGAACCCAGAAGGACATTTCTTTCAACACTACAAAGTATGTTTCTAGTCTACTGGTCCTCAAGCCTGTTGATAGTTTTAAAGCTGCCCTGTTTTAAAGCATTAATGTTTCAATGTTTTCCCCGCCATTCAATTCTCAGGAAGAGATTATCTCGTCCCACTCTCAAAGCGCATTGCTCCACATAGATTAGCAGACAACTGCACACATACCCTATTATTTCTCCATTTACTTGCTATATTTGAATTCTCAAAGGACGTCTGAGGTCTACGCTTTGGAAGAACACCAATTATCAAAGAACAATGCCCAAATAGCGCATGAATAAATCATAACGTTATTATCCAAAGACTGAAAATCAGAATCCATTTTAACTCCATTTTAACAGCCGACACGAAAATAAAAAATGAGGTCATTTTTTGCTAGTTCAGAGAGACTTCTGCAAATAAATTTCCACCTATCTCCTAAATTCAGCTTGAGTCCAGAGCAATCCCGATTAACTTTACAGGCAGTCCTCTGTTTACAATCTGGTGGTGTTGGTCATAAACTGGGGCACCCACATGACCGACTTATCTTCATCACCTTTGCTGCAGCTACCTTTAAGAGAACGAGACTATTTAAAGCAGTTGCCACAATTGTTAGGTGAATTCTGCAGCCATTAAATGAATCAAATGTTTGCTACAGGCCAGATTTGCTGAAAAAAAACATACGTAAATGTGGGTTTTTAGCAAACCCATCATAAAATTCAGTCTTATAACTGTCGGACACTACAAATGGACGTAAATCCATTGGTTGCTGGGTGTCCCAATATGTGATCACATGAAGCAGCTGTCATAATTTTGATGGGTTGTACGTTGAGGACTATCGAAGCTGTGTCTACATTTTCATTTAGCCAATTAATATTCCTATGTATCAAACACCTTCAGGAGAGAATGCTGTTTGTGTTTGCCCTAATAGGCTGAACGTTTTCCTTATCCCTGGTTTGATCTATACATTGCACGTCATTAAAATCTTTAAAATTAAGATTAAAATCTTTAAAACATATTCTACTTAGGTGTCTTGCAGAAAAGGTGTTGTTGTTATTGACTTAAGTAAAAAATAGACCTGCGTTTTAAACCCCCCCCCCTTTTCTTTTACAAACTAAATCAAATAGCAGCAAAATTTACAGAAAACGTACCTCCACTTAGGAGCTTCATCACTAACCAAAGTTCATCTTTCACCACGAAAGAAGTATAGTAAGAGACGATATTTGGATGGTGGCACTGACTCATCGCTTGAATTTCTTTCTGAAAAGGAAAAAGGAGGAAGGAAAGGAAAATCAACTTGCAATTCCTATTGTCTTTTAAACACGCTTAACCATCCTAAGCCGAAGTAACAGGACACCGACACAAAAACCTTCATTTACAGAGAGCTTCCAATGGGTGGGCTTCAATTTCCAGAATTCCCCCAACCAGCGTGGTCATTGCTGAGAATTCTGGGAGCGAACTTACCCACCTGGATTCAACCCAGGTTGGGAAATATACCGTATAAGACGCACCTCTTTCCTCCCCTAAAAGAGGGTGAAAGTTTGGGTCTGTCTTATACACTGAATGTAGCCCCATCCACCGGCCCCCACCCTTTGGCCTCTGCCTCCCAGCAATTTACCTCCTTGCAGAAAATAGGGGAAATGGGGCTTGCCGAGGCTGCAATATAGCAATCCCTTCAGCCTGAAACAGCTGATGATCGGGAGGCCCATGTGAAATTGAAAGTGAACGTGAAGAAACACATCCCCCCCCCTTGTTTTCCTCCCCAAAAGCTTCTGTAGGTGCGTCTTATACTTCGGAGCATCTTATACACTGAAAAATACGGTATATAAGGAACTTTGGAGCATCTTATACTCTGAAAAATACGGTATATAAGGAACAAAAGCTGAATCAAATCCTGGCTAAAAGGTAGGATTTGGGAATGGGTTCTAGGACCAGCCTTAGCAAAGATATCCCAGACAGATTGAACTACAACCCCCATAAATATAACGGGTGCAGCATTTGCTAGTGGGTGTTGGAAAATATGGGTCCCAGACAGATTGAACTACAACTCCCATAAATATAACGGGTGCAGCATTTGCTAGTGGGTGTTGGAAAATATGGGTCTGCATTCCAATCAATATATAGGTAGTCCTTGACTTATGAGAGCCCATTTAGCAATTGTTCGAAGTTATAGAACTGCACTGCACTTACAACAGGTCGCAACATCCCCAGGGTCACATGATCAAGTTTCAAGGGCTTGGCGACTGGCGTGTATTTATGACGGCTGCAAAAATCATGTGATCACCCTTTGGGACCTCGCCAGGCGGCTTCTGACGAGCAAAGTCAATGGGGGAAACCGGATTTGCTTAATGACCATGTGATTCACTGAACAACTGCAGTGAATCGTTTAACAACTATGGCAAAAAAAAAACAAAAAGGTTGCAATATTGGACACATTTCACTTAACAACCATTTTGCCTAGTAGTAAAAGAGATTCTGGCATCAATCGTGATCTTAAGTCAAGAATTACCTGTAACTGCAGGTAAGGACAGCAAACCAATTCGATTGTTTCAAATCGTTATTTGTAAATTATTTTACAAATAGATCACACATAAATTTGTAAACAAATTACTTGTAAATAATTTACAAGTAGATTATTATTTGGGTTCCCAAGATGAAGCCCTGTTGCTTAAGGCCTCCCCAAATTCCTCTCTGTTCCTAAGTTTGTTTTCCTTCTCTTAAGAAAGTGACTTGGGCAAAATAAGAGTAGGGTGTGGTGTTCCTGTTGGAAATCTGCAATTGAAAGTTTGATTGGTGTCCGATCAACGGGTGCTTTGTGACAGCCACAAGGCTTGAGGCTACTCAATGTGAGGTTCCCCAAAACCTGCTCTCCAAATTCCAAACTTGCCTGAGGCCCCCCAAGAAGGTCCGAGATGTTCGCTCCATCGTACAATGTGCAAAAAACTCACCCTGCTTTATTGTTTATATAACTAATTCAAGATAGCAACCGTATCTTATACTCCTTCCTTCTCTTATGTTTCCCCAACAGAAAAACCTTTCGAGTTAGGTTGGACCGAGAGGGAGGGACTGATTCAAGTCACTCAGCAGGCTTTCATGCCTAAGGTAGGACTACAATTCACCATCACCTGGTGATTGGCGCGAAATCACTCAGCCAGTTTTTATGCCTAAGGTAGGACTAGAACTCACTTCTCCTGGGGATTGGGCCCATGTCACCCAGCTGCTTTCATACCTTAAGGCAGGACTGGAACTCACTTCTCCTGGGGACTGACGTAAAGGCTCCCAGTCAGCTTTTACACCTAAGGCGGGACTAGAACTCACCCTCTCCTGGAAATTGGCCCAAAGATTCCCAGGCGGCTTTTACAACTAAGGCAGGACTAGAACTCACCGTCTCCTGGGGACTGGCCCAAAGTGACCCAGCTGCCATTCATGCCTAAAGTGGGACTAGAACTCACCATCTCCTGGTTTCTATCCTGGTGCCTTAACTACTAAACCAAACTGGCTCTCCATTTTATTTTATCATTTATTCTTTACTTTCGCTACACCAGGGATCGGCAACCTTTAAACACTCAAGGAGCCACAAAGGTCCTAACCGGAGGTCCCTCGTTAAATTCCGGTTCCCCCCACCATAGAAGTCTCCTCCTAGCATGGCATCGTTTTTCCTCTACCTGTCCTAACCAAAAGCCCTATCAATTGTGGAGCCGACCAGTGACAGGGAGCCTCAGCAAAGGGATGAAAGAGCCACATGCGGCTCCAGAGCCGCAGATTGCTGACCCCTGCACTAAACAATGCTATCTCAGCACTTTTCCTGGGCATGGGAAATAAGCAGGGTCTAATCTGGTTTATGGTTAGCTGGGAGACCATGCAGAGATTTCAGGATTGTAGCTTAGACTGGGCAGTTAAAAAATACCCTGGAAAGAAATAATAATTTCTTNCACATACTATATTTCCCCCTTCCCCCCTAAGAGCTCACCTCCCTTCCCCCCCCCCCATCACTTTAGATTGCAACGGGAACTATTGGTTCAGAAAGCCCAAAACACCAACAGCTGCCTCAACGGCAATTGTAGCTCTACAATTTGCCAGTTGTAAAGGTTGCCCTGCAAGACTGGTTTAACTCCACTCCCAACCAGCCTTTCCAAATTCCGTGATGGGCTTCAAGAGCCAAAAATCCCATCACGGCCCAACTTTCTAAACTTCTACAAATGGGAACTGAACATCGCTGGAGCATGCTGAGTTAAGAGGCAGCATTGCCAAGATACTTAACACGCTGCGCTAAAAAGCACGTTTTACAAGCCCCAGTTGCAAATTTTACTTTACCTTCCATTAATCAAGTTTGTTAGCTTAGTGTGTTACTATGAAAATAAATTCCGTGGCTGCCACACACTGCCTACACTGTCTCCCATCAGCCTTTTTCTCTCCCCTGATCCAACTTCATAAAGCCCAGAGAGTTTATTTTTAACCGAAATTATAACATTCATTAGCTTCCATGAAGATCTGTTCTTGAAATGGCTCAAGGCTTTTAAAAAAATGTCACAGTAAAAGGTTTCCTAAGCCCAGTCGTGTCCGACTCTAGGGAGCGATGCTCATCTCGGCCTTTTAGCAGAAGGAGCTAAGGAGCATTGTCTAAAGATGATTCGGAAGTCATGTGGCCACATGGCTAGACACCGAGACGCAAAGAATGCTGTTACTTTCCCAACAAAGAAGCACCTATTTATCCATTTTCATGCTTTTGCACTTTAAGAACTATGTAATTTCTGATCTGTGCTGATAAAGCCCTATGGCACCAATGGCACGCGTGCTACAGGTGGCACGCAGAGCCACATCTGCTGGCACGCCAGCCAGCTGATTTTGGGGCTTCATGAGGGACGGGGGAAGCCGCATTCAGTTTTGGTCTCCACGATATAGAAAAGATGTGGAGACTCTAGAAAGAGTGCAGAGAAGAGCAACAAAGAGGATTAGGGGGCTGGAGGCTAAAACATATGAAGAACGGTTGCAGGAACTGGGTATAGCAATAGCAATAGCAGTAGACTTATATACCGCTTCATAGGCCTTACAGGCCTCTCTAAGCGGTTTACAGAGAGTCAGCATATTGCCCCCANGGTTGACTCAGCCTTCCATCCTTCCGAGGTGGGTAAAATGAAGACCCGGATTGTTGTTGGGGGCAATATGCTGACTCTCTGTAAACTGCTTAGAGAGGGCTGAAAGCCCTATGAAGCGGTATATAAATCTAACTGCTATTGCTATTGCTATTTATGTAATGACCACATGGTTTGCTTAAAAATAGCAGCAAAGGAGGTTGTAAAATCAGTTCAGCCATGGGATGATCTGCTTTAGGACCATCATGACTGTAATTGCTCCATTGTGGTCGTAAGACGAGGACTCTGTGCATATTGCTTTGTGGCTGATACCCTCCTTAGGATTATTTGAGAGCTGAAAATAACAATGCCAGTTCCCTTAAATCAGGGATGTCTAACCTTTTTGGTTAAGTCACTGCATGAGTGCTGTGTGTGGGTAAAAACCCCAAAATGCAATGCGAGCATCCCACACACATGCACCCCGCCCCACTGGCGCATGCACCCTGCACCCCCTTTGCCCCATTTTGGCTTCTGGGTTGGTACAGGAGGCTTTCCAGGTCCAAAATGAGGCACGGGGGAGGAGCACACATGCATGCAAATGCAATGCGAGCGCCACCCGCACATGAGCCCCTCCCAGTGGTGAGTTCCGGAACCCGTTGCAACCGGTACGGTGCAACAAGGCTGGGCATCCACCACATGCCCATGCACAGCATGCGCATGTGTACTTACTGCCCGCAATGCTCTGTGACACTCCAGCTTCTCGGCGGAGCATCACGCAGGTGCTGTACGCTCCATGCGCAAATGCATAAGCCCCGATTGGCTCAAATACAGGTAAGGACGGTGGGCGGGCCGGCGGGCCTTCCAGAGTACCGTATCGGAACCTGGTAATCCTAGCAGGCACTGGTACGCCTGTACCGGGGCGTACGGAACGTATCCCACCACTGGCTCCTCCCCTCCCATGCATGCACACACATGTCCCCCGCATGGGTCCTGCCTCCCACGCATGCATGACAGAAACCCAAAGACCAGCTGATTGGTGGGAGGCGCACTGGTGGAGCTGGGCTGGGGCGACGGCTGGCATACCTGCAGAGAGGGTTTGCCATCACGGCCTTATAAAATAGATGGTATCAGTTAGACCAAATTTAGAATCGGTTGTATGCTTCTAAGTAGTTATACTTCAAAAAAATA